CATGATGATGGGCGTGGGCAAGAGAAGAGCAGATGTGGTTGTCAAGACCACATTAGCAAAGGATGCTCAAGGACCCAATGTGCCCATGACCCCAACTCTGAGCTAGGTAGAGAGTAAATTTGTGCATATAGAAAAAGGCAGCTCACAAAGTATAGGTGTTTGATGTTAATGGGCCTCAGTTTCTTCCATCTCATCTGGTGCAGTTAGATAGACTCTTCATTCTTCATTCATGTGTGTATGTGTGAGTGTGTGTGTGTGTGCGTGCACACACACACATGCACACGTATATGAATTAATAAATCTGTGAACATTCATTAGAAGGAGCAACAGACTCATTATTCAACCTGCTGTGGTAAACAGTCAATCAATACGTGTGATTTACACCCATACTTAACACATGCATATATGCCAACTCTAAAATACTTTCATCATTTTATTTTGCTTTTAGGTTGACTACTGTTTTGCTTCCTAATCCAATAAAGGAAGGTATCATTTTTGAAATCTCATCATGCAGTTTCTTTTAAAATCATTGACTCTTTTATAAGATGAAAGATCAAAGGGGCAACTGGACTCTAGTGTATAAAGCTTCAGATTTAAATCATTACCAGCCATCTTGTTTATTGTCAGGTATTGGTTTGTATACTTTTTTTTTTTTAAAGCAACTCGGTTAACTTTTTTTTTTTTTTACAACTGCTTAAAGTTGGATAGAAATGGAACATTCAGAGGTAACGTTCGTTCAGTCCAGTGCTTTCTGTGTATTTCATATTCTGAAAATATCTGCATAACATTCACAACAGGCTTACACACAGGTGTTTATAGTGGCATAGCTACAGTTTGGATCTTGAACTTCTCCTTCAGGCCCATGTGTTAACAGCCTGGTCCCTGGTTAGTGCGACTTGGAGGTGACGGGACCTCTGTGAGGCAGGCCAGTGGGAAGCAGTTAGATTATCAGGGGACAGCCACTGAGGGGAGTGGTGGGATCCCAGCCCCCTTCTTCCCCTCTCTTATTCCCTGTTCATGCACTGAGCACTTTTGTTCCACCATGCACTCCCCTCCATGTCCTGCTCCCTCTTCATAGGTCCCAAAGCAAGGGGGCCACTTGATCATGGACTGGAACCTCCCAAACTGTGAGTCACAACAACCTTTTCCTCTTCACAAGTTGGTTATCTCACGTATTTGTGTCAGTGATGGGAAGGTCACAAGAGCCATATGGTTTGAATTTTGATGTTTTCTAAGGACACCCCAGAATCGTTATAACTAGCAGCTGCAAGAATTGTCCTGGGGCTGTGTCTTGGCCACTACTTGATGAACATATATGTTGTGCTTCTATGTGTGCCAGTGGCTATTCTAAGAATTTGTGCATAACTGCTTCTTGACCTGTCACAACAACTCTGATTTATCCATGTTTTACAGATGAGGAGGTGAGGCCCCGGAGAGTTCAGGCAATTGATCCAAGCTTACGGCCAGGGAGTGGAGGGGCTGGGATTCAGAGCTGTGAGACTGGCTGCAGGGTCCTTGTCCTTAGCCACAGATCTGTACTTCTACTCCAAGCAGAAGAAAACTGCCATCACTGTCAGCAGCTGGTGCCTGGAGGGTCCCAGAGCCTCGTGCCCTCCTTCCAGGAGGTCTGTGCACAGGTTTCAAGCTGAGCTGACACAGAGCAAGTGCAGCCCCTGCAATGGGGCTCCATCTCCCTCGGTTTTCTTCCAGCACAGGGGCTTCAGCTCACTCTGGTCCGCAGCCTCAGGCTCAGGCGCTGGGTGGGGAGTTGTTCTCCAGACCCTGATGTTCTTTATTCCAGGGGTTCATGTATGTCAGGGAGTCGGTCACATGGGACAGGCTTTCCACATGGTCTACAAGTGACTCAGAGGGCTTGGGTCCACAGAGCAGGTGCTGGTGCTGATGAAGTCAAGTCCATACCAAGAACAGATTAGGAAATTCTGTGGTTTGAATGTGTCACTCCATGTTCAAATGTTGGAAACCCAATCCCAGTTGACAGATAGGAATATATATATATATATATATATATATATATATATATATTAGTTATACATGGACACAGTATCTTTATTTTGTTTGTTTATTTTTATGTGGTACTGAGGATGGAACCCAGTGCCTCACATGTGTGAGACAATCGCTCTGTCACCTGGGGCCGACAGATAGGACCTTGAAGAGGCAAGGAGGTCAGGAGGGTGGTCTTCATTGAAGGATGAATGCTCTTATGGTGGAGTGGAGTTATCATGGAGTGCGTTCCTGAGAAAAAGATGAGTCCACCGCTTCCTTCTCTCTCACTCTTGCCCTTTCTTGCCCTCCCACCACCCATGGGAGGGCGGTGCAGCACAAAGGCCCTGGCTGGACTCCAGCCACCCTGGTGTTGGACCTCAAGAACCATGGTATTAGTAGCTTAAGAAGGACTGGGACAGGGAACTCTAGGAGGAGCCTCTGGGCATCAGGATAGTGACGTGGTGACATCTCAGCCCCGACATGACTTCTGGGCATTGTGAAGCACCTGTGCACCCCTTCACCAGAGCCCCCACTAGATTCTTCCCCTATGGAAAAGTCTGCTCCTTTCAGCGAATGCCAGGAATCTGCTACAGGTTCCCTCACACAACGCTCCTTCCCTCTTAAGCTCCTCTTTCCTTCTTTCCTTGAACCCTGCTCTCCCTTTGCTCTTGTACAGTAGACTTTGATTACTTAATGGCTACTGCAGTCAGAGCTGGAGTGTGTGGCTCCGCAGGGATAGTGAAGTCTTAAGTGTAAAACCTTCCAAGACAAGCCAGAGTTTACTTCCTGTAATAACATATTCTGACCATTTGTATTCTCTCCCATTTATATAACTTCATATTCTTCAGCTAAATGTGTCAGTAGTATGGTTGCCTATTGGGTGTCTTATTGCAACTTGCAGGTGGCAAGTTGTTTATCTTGATAGCATCAGAACATTTGAAAATTTCCTATTGTATCCTTGAGGATAAGCATAATAGTAACATTGTAGTATAGAGTTAGCCTGGCTAAACAACAGGAATATTAAACCACATGCTGCGGAAATAGAATCAGAAACAAAATCTACTCCCTACAAAAGAGGAAAAACTACTCCACAAGGTAGAAGAGAAAGAAAACAGTTTTATTATTGAATAAACAAACATTGAACCAGAATGTTACCTACATCCCAGGAAGTCTACTAAGAGATTACAGGGATGGAAAGAAATCTCACTGTTTAATATAGACAAGCAAGTAGAGCCCCGTGCATGCATGTCCTAAAGGTAAATAGTAAGCAGGCTTCAGGAAAGGGACCTGAGGGCACCATTTGACACACATAGTTCATCCTGGGCTCACCTGGTAATGGGGGTGGCCACCTGTGTTAGCTGAATGGCTTTACCCACAGGGAATCCAAACATCTCAGTCTTCCTGAAGGAGTGGTCGCCATTCGGGGGCAGAGCCAGTGGACTCCAGCCCCCTCCTTCCCTGCCACAGAGACTGGGATGATTCCGTTTCACAGGGATAGCTCCCAAGTCCTGGAGGAAGATTCTTCTCCATTACAAAGTTCATGAGAACCTCCCTTGGATTTTAAAAAGATTTACATGCATTTCAAAGAGTTGAAGAGACCAAAACAGATTTGAGTTTTCTAAAATTAAGGCTACAGGAAAGGAAAGAGTGGAGAACAGCAGAGGGACAGGGGTCAGCTGCCAGAGCCCCTCTGGAAGGTTCTTTAGACTGCAGCAGTGTTTCCCAAAGCCAGTTCTGTGGTCACTGCTGTGGAATGTTCTGGAGTGCTTCCTGAAAAACAGATTCCCAGGCCTCGTCTCCAAGTCTGCAGATGAGAGTGATGTACGCGGCTCCACATGATCATCAACACTTTGCACTGAGGCTTGACCTGAGTGGGAGACCTGTCGAGTCTATTCCAGTGCACTTTTATTTCTAGTGTTTTAATGTGCATATCTGAATGTGCCTTGGCAAAAATCAGGAATTAGAAATTAGACAAATATATAAAAAGAGAAAAGGAAGTAGACGCAACCAGACCTGTGCTTGGTCCACCAAGGAGAATACCTCTTGTGGGAACTCTCACCTTTGGCTCAAAACCTCCCTCAGTCCTGATCAGGATCATTTGCCCTTGGGAATCTGGCTTCCTGTTAAAATAACTTAACAGTAAACTCAGAAAATTGACAAAGAAAGAAATCCCCTGTTTAGTAAGGTAAAGAAATATGTTATCCAGTATGAAATTACTTCATATTGCTCCTATAAGCAAGGTATATGTATCATGTGTGTATATATATTATATATATATATAAGTTTATATATAAAAATATATCATAAGTAACATAGATGCATAATGGATGTGTTCTTACAGTAATGTAATGAAAGTGTTGCTTTAAGAAGGGTCATTGGTATCAAGAAACAATGAAAATATGACTTCTCAGTTGGGTTTGGGTCCTTGAGGCCCTCCCTTGTGGGTCTGGAATTTGCTAGGAGGACTCACAGGACTCAGCACTGCTGGATTTCAGCAAAAGGATCCAAAGTCAGTGAAGGAGAAAGATGCACAGGGCCAAATGGGAAGGATTGACTGATACCCCAGAAGAAAAGCACGTGCTTAGCACACACCAGACTGACCTGGAGACAGTCTAAGCACAATGAGCTCCATCAGTCCAGCAGTGGTAGAAAGGCACAGTGAAGCCGTGTTCCGACGTGCCAGCCAAGGACTGGCTCTTCTGGGGACCGTACTCTGGGGCCGCTATAGGAAGTCTTCTACGGGTGCTGACTCACTAATGAAGTGGGCAAGACATGCCCAGTTCTTGGCATTCTGACTTATGGTGCATTTGAATAATGTGTGTTTACAAGCAACGAGGCGAGTGTGCAGAAAGCGTGAGACTAAGATGTACTTGGGCAAGAGGGTGAGACATCTCATATAATAGACTCAGTCATGAAATTTTTCTCAATAAATACACAAAATCAAAGATGTTTACCCTGCTTTTGTCCACATGCTGACTTGAGCACCCTCGCCATAGGCCAGTCACCATGGAGCACCCATCTCATGGTACAGCGTGGTGACACGGATGGAGCCAAGATCACTAATGCAGTCCTGATGCCTTGTGGAGGTACAGCGTGGGCCCTTCTAGACTGTGTGCTTCTCGGCTGGCAGAGTTCCAAAGTGCTTGAGCTGGTCGGGAAACTGTTTTACAGCAAGAGAGGCAAACTGTTAACAGAAATTGCACTTTAGGTTAGAAACCTGCTTCCTTTGGGTTGTTCAGTGATTATCGGGTAATTATTTAGAGTCCCTGTTTCTTATGTTCCCCAGTTAAAATCTGACAACATTTTTCTTTTGGGAAAGAATATTTGTTATTTACTCAGAAGAAAGATTGGAGGTTGATGTCATGGTTTCTGAAAATCATTTATTCCCTACAACCTTCTTGCTATAAAACAGGCTAAAGTTTCTGAAATACAAAGAGCATAAAACTGATTTACACAAAGACAAGTGACCTTTGAAAACTTGGGCTATCGCCAGGCCCATATTCATCTGATGCATATTTCATTTTTGATGCAACGAACTTTGGGCTTTCGTTATGTCCAGTCTAAGATTGTTTTATGTTCGTTGATGGACACTACCTCTGTCCTTCCCCAAGACCTGACTCTTACTGCAGGAACAAGCATCCTCCATTGCATGACTAGCTCAACACAACATCTCAACACAAAACAAACGAAATTATTTATTTAACTCTAATTGGGAATGCGTGCATATAAAATGTAAGTGTGTATGTAATGTACACTATTAGTCGTTTATGTTATGTGCTGTTTAAAATATTTAAAGGATGTCTGTGTGTTTTAGTTCAGTCCCCTAGTGACCCTTGGGTTTTATTTCATCGTCATCTCACGACGGCAAAGATAAAGAGACTGAATGTCCTTCCATGAGATCTTCCAAGGAAAGAATTAGAATACAGGACAAGGCCCCACGGCTTCCCTCCTCCGTGTCTGTGTTTCCAGCCAACCGAAGTCTAACGGAGATGAAGTTTGGGCATTTTCCTGCATCATCCAGAGAGTTAGACTGGGAATGACCTTCTCCTGCACACTCTGTCAGCTCACGCCTCTCCACCCTGCGCCCGCACCGCTGGGTGCATTCCATCTGGACAGAGAATGAGAGCTAACATTTCTTTCTCTTCTCAATGAGGCAAGAAAAGAGTAGTTGTAACTGATATTTTCCAGGACTTATCAGGGCTGGTTAGAGGCTTGGAATGCATGAGTTCTTCTGGCTTGTTTTCTGGTCCAGTTATTTAGGGTATTAGTTACTCGGTGTCTTCACTCCCTAACCCACCCGTCTCCAATAAAGGAGGAACCCCAGGCATTAGGGCTGCTCTGCCCGCCTGGCTCTGCCCGAAGGGCCCGGCAGCATTTCTGTCATGAACCATTTCTAAGATTTATGACTCAGCCATAAATACTTGTCACCAGCAGAAACTTAGCCTGGAGGGTCACAGGCCTGGAGTAAATTATTCATTTATAAATTTCACTGACTTGCTTTAAATTGTTTTAACTGTATTTATCTTTTGTGATGGGAGGAGAAATAATGGCTTTATGGTTCAAGACATTTTTGTCCCCCTATGAATCAACGAGCATTGGCATGTAAGCAAAAATTCAGCAAAAATGTGGCCACTGAAACAGACAACGATTCTCCTTTCTTCAGAGAAGGGCTTGAGGGCCAACATCATTCAACCAAAGCTCTATTAACAGAACTTGGGGGAGAAAGTGAACGCTCTGAGCTGTTAACTCCCCAAAGCATCCCTTCCCATTTGCTTTTTTCTTCTTCCACATGAGGACCAGCAAGCTGCATGGTCACCGGAGTCTGACCATTCATGCTACATCCGGCCAGACAGAGCAGGCAGGGGTGGGAAATGGCTCTGCCTCGGATGGTCCATGTTCCCGCTCTGAGGGGCTGAATCTGTACCTCTCCTCCATGCTTTTGCATTTATTTCTTAAGGGTAAATACTAGTTCCATGCCGCTTTTTAAGTCACATAGGACTTTTCAAAATAATATAAATTCCATTCTCTATCGGTATTACCAGTTAATATGCCTTGAAATAGCATCCATGTAAACACTGAATGAATAAATGATCTGACTCCAGTGGTCACACATTGCTAGAAACAGTTAAAAATAGGAAACATTTCAAATTGAAACATTTGAAATTTGGATTTATAACTGACCAGTTGTGATACAAATGGTCACACTTTCAAGTGGATTCTACTTCTGAATTCATATAACTTAAAGCTTAATTAAAAATGTTGTCTGCATTCTTAAGCATTCTGTCTACTTCTAAGGAGTTCTACATCCTGCTCTATTAAAAACAGTCACTAAAATTTGGTAAAATGTTCTGTTTTATGCATGCAGACCTTTAAAATTTTGTCCTGATTTTTCCTAGTTAAAAAAGCAAGATACCTTTTAGAAAAATTTGGAAATACCAAAAAGCCTAAAGAAAACAATTGCTTTAAAGTTTTTAAAAATTGTCAAAGATTAAATATAGTAAAGGTGTATAATATAATGGTTCGATACATGTCAATATTGTGTAATGATTACCATAATTAGCATGTCCCTTACCACCCATGCTGCACACTGGGTCCCCTCAACTTGCTCATCTTACCACTGAACGTCTGTACCCTCTAACATTTCCACCATCTCTGCACCCTCAGCTCCTGGAAACCACTGTTTTCCTATTATTGTTTTGACAATTCTAGATGACACTACAGGTGAGATCATGTGGCGTTTGTCTTTCTATGTCTGGCTTATGTCACTTAGCATAATGTCCTCTAGGTCCATATATGTTGTCACAAGTCTCAGGATTTCATTGTCAAAAAAACCCCAAATAATCCAAATGAAAAAAAATGGGCACTAGACTTGAAAAAAAAGAAGACATAACACTGGCAATTAGGTACCTGAAAAAATGGTCAACATCACTACTCATCAGGGAAAAGCAAATCAAAGCCACAGTGAGATAGATACCACCTCAACCTGTTAGGAGAGCTGCAATCAACAAGACAAGAGATCATCAAAGTTGGTGAAAATGTGGAAGAAAAGGAAGCCATCTACCTTGTTGGGAATTTAAAGTGCAATACCATTATGGAACATGGTATGGAGGGGCTTCAATAAAAATAGAACTACTGTACCACGAGAGCAATCTCTCTGTTGGGTGAACCACAAAGGAACACCGTCAGTGTCTTGAAGAGACATTTGCACCCCATGTTCATGTAGCATAATTCATGATGGTCAGCAAGTGGGTACAGCCTCTTTGCCCACACAGCCTCTGTGTGTTCTACAGATTCTATTTCTTATGTTGTCGAATCCAGCTTAATCAAGGAACAAATACAAACGTCAAGTGGATGAAGAACACGTGGTTTATAGACACAACTGAATAATATTCAGCTTATAAAAGAAGGAAATCCTGTCCTTTGCAGCAACACTGATTAACCTGGAGGATATATGCTAAGTGAAGTGAGCCAGGCACAGAGAGAAAAATACTGCCTGGTTGATCTTTTTTTCCATGTAGAATCTAGGATAAACAAATTTAAAGCATAAAAAAGTTTATCATTTGTCATTGTAGTAAAGCTCCTAGAAGACTGAGGGGGTCTAGACAGTGAGTTCTTGTCATGGAAAAACCTTTAGGGACATAGTGGCGTAGGAGGGAAGAGGAGTCTGAGGACAGGATGGCGAGAGTTGGTGGAGAAGCATGATTTTCCACTTGTGCTGGGTCCAGACCCCTGCAGTCACCGTCACAAGTCTTCCACTTTCGGTCTCAAGAGGGAGGGAAGCTGTACTGTGCTATAGCCCACGCCCTTCCTGTGTGGCAAGATGGGCAAATCTGCTGTCCCAAAGAAAGACACAGTGAAGAGAACAGGTCAGGTACACACCAGTCCCATTCCCACCAGCCATGGGGACTGATGGGCTTCTCCTCAGGGGAGGTGCCCCACAGGTGTTCTGTGGGTGGCGATGGGTGGGGTGTGCTGAGCCAGGAGGACCGGGCAGAAGGCTGAAATGGTATCTGACCCGTGTGGGCTCACGCTCCAGAGGTGACTGTAGGATTAGTTCTGCATTCTTTGGAACGTCAGCTCATTAGAGTCCTACCACAGCTCCATGGTGTCATCAGAACCGAGTCATCGCCACCACTGGAATAAAGAGAGAGGCCCACGCAGGGAAGGTAAAGGACGCCTCTGCTGGAGGCCCTCAGCTTCATCGTGACAGGCCCAGGACGAGGCTCCAGACTCCTGTGCCACTTCGGTCCATTTCTGGGAGACTCTGAGTTGGAGTAACATGCTTTTCCTGACTTTCATCATCAACTCAAATGTGGTTGAAAATATCTTTAAACGAAATTCTTCGGGTTAACATTAAAGTTACATACTGTTGTGTGTTCAGCGTAATGAACACGTCAAACATAAAAACTGGCCTCCCTTAGTAGGCTATTTCAGTGGCTATTTTCTTCTACAAAAGATTTTGTGCATGGGATTGGGAGCTTTTTGGAGTGTGTGTTCTACAGATTCTATTTCTTATGTTGTCGAATCCAGCTTAATCAAGGAACAAATACAAACCTGTGAGGGGTCAGAAATATTAAGGAGCCTCTAAAAGAAAATTGGGTTTTTTCCCTCAGTCCACCCTATTTTTACTGTCTTCTTTGTTCCTAATATTCCATCCTGATTGATATGCCCTTTCTTCATTTTCCAACCTTCCTTTTGTGGCATTAGTTGGATCCCTAATTTCTACTGTAATTTTGTTTTTTCTCCTAGGTAAAGCTGATAGCCAGTATCTCCTCTTTGTGGCTGGAGGGGTAGTTCTCTTGTTTGTTGTGGCAATCGTCATCATCATCGTCATTTCTTGTAACAGGTGAGTAGAACGAGTACCCCAATCTGGTCTGCCCTGAGTCACTGCGATGTTACAGGTTCTCTATTAATAACCCAACAATTTGTCAAGCTGTCTCAGCATCCACAGGTATTTCTTTGAATACGGCTCTTACTCAAGGGGGGAGGCGTTAATATCAGAAGCCAAAGCCAGAGAGAGTCCTTCCCTGAGGGATGGGCGGAGCCGGCAGCCTGCCTGCCTGTTCCCCATCTCTCGCCCCCTCCTCCAAGGAAATAGCTGCCAGTGAAGGCATGTGTGTGTGTGTGTGTGTGTGTGTGTGTGTGTTTGTGTGTTTGTAAGTAAGAGAGGATAATGCCTTAACTTAAGCATTCATCAGATATCCATTGTGCAAAGTGGTGAAGGAGATGTAGGGAAGCTCCCATTCTAATAAGCTAACAGTAAACTTAAACTGGTGGCATACTTTCTGAACAGTGGTCTAGATGCTACTGTTAAGAATTACTGAGGAAGAAGACTGGGAGGCTCACCCCAGAGACAGTGGGCAGTCATCCGTAATCAGCAGCAGCTTCCTGCTACTCAAGGTGTGGCGCAGGGGATTTTCTTAGCCGGCCCTTTCTTCTCCAGACTCTCCGTGTCTGACGACCCATTTGCCTAGCACTGGTTGGTCCTTTTAGAATCACACTGGGTTGGAATTATTCCTTATACTGTGGGCCAAGGACAGTGGTTGGAGTGTGTGTTCTACAGATTCTACAGGCGTCTGTGGGCCAGGCTTGCTGAGGGAGAAAGGGACCATGCTTTGCACGTCTCTCTTATAGGTCTGTGATGGCACAGATGTGCTTGTTGGCTGTGCACATTTCCATCTCTGCTCCACTCCCACGTAATGTGCAGCTCCTTAACAGGATTGCCAGGAGGTTTCTGCATCTCCTCTGCATGTCCTTGACCTTTGCCTCTTCTGCCACGCCCCTGCCCCCTCCAGCCTGCCCTCCTGTTCTCAGACCATCCTCTCTCTAAACCATTGGAATTTCCTAGTTCCTCTTTTGTCCTCCTCCTGATTAACACTGTGTTACCCTCCCACTGCAACCAGAGTAGTCTTAACCTCATCAGCCCTGTCACTGAAGGTGCTCTGCTCTCTGACTGCAACTTAATTTTTGTCCATAGTTTCTACTTTATTTACTTTCTCTAAAATTCACAAATTTTTATTAAAACTATGACATTTATTCTTTGAGCACACCCACTGTCTTTCATTTGCTATGCTCCCCAAATACAGTTTCCCTGTATTTGCCCTTAATCTTGTGCATTATAACAGGCAAGACACCAGTCCCCTCTGTGAGGGCTGTCTTGAATCTCTGTCCCTGGGATAGACATGAAGTCACCATCCAGAATCATCTTGCACTCCTATCTGCTACTCCTCGCATCCTGCTTTGTATTTTAATTGTATTCGGGCTTGTCTTCCCTACTGTGGTATTCATAATGGCAGGACTGTGTTTTATTTACGTTTTAGTGTTTGATAGCATTCAGCAGCTAATCTTCCCAAGCAGTGGAGGGTCAGTGATCATCTGCCTAATTAAAGGGGAACAGGGCCAGTCCTTTCACCTTTCTCTGCATCGTGGCTGCCCTGAGTGTTTCCCTGACCAGAAATTAGCAAATGGAGGCAGGGGCCCCGGGGTTAGTGTCCTAGAGGGTTTCTCTACTGCCTCACGTTGGCTGATGAAAATGCAGACGGGGCAGAGGGAGTCTTGGGGAACAGGCAGCGTGACTGAGAGAACGCGGGGTGGACAGACCTCTGCAGGGTCACAGATGTTGGACAGGGCAGGCTTTGCTTCATGAAAACACTTTGCTTTCACATGAGTAGTTAAACTGAACTGTGGAGTATACTGTCCCTCTTGGGTCAAGGCGATGGGAAGATTAGTGGACGCGAGTGTCTAATCAAGGGTGAACTCCACAAAGGAAAGGGCACGGTTCTTCCTGCCTTGTCTGGTCTCCCTTTGTGGCTGTTACTTGGTTGGAAATGTTTTGGAAAATGACCCAAGGGTTTCACCAATGACCCCTGAACCCTGTCTGACCAACCATTTGAGATAATCCCTCAGCCTCAGATGTGCAAGTCTGACTTCAGAGGGGATGCCCAGTCACCTGCTCCAGGGGCACTGGAAACGGCTCCTCTATCCTGGGTTGGTAGGGGTCAGAACAGCAACAGTAAGAATGGAGCATGCTGGGGATGCACAGTGCGGGTGAGCACCAGGAGAGCCAGCTTGTGCTCTGGGCACGGACACCTGTGTCCTGGGAAGAGCTTGAATCCTTAGGGAAACGTCAGACACTTGTCTGCAGATGGCTGTCAGTGCTCGTGCTTATGATGAAGGTGGCATCTGGTTTTCCTGCCACCTTCCTGGTTTCAGCACTTCATCCCAAGGAGATGCCTTAGTCCCCGGCAAATGGGAACAGCTGGTCAACTTAGATCAAATGGTGATGTTCACTACCTTTATTTTACAGACAGAGGACTGGTCTTTTGAGATGCAAAACACTCAGCCACTAGATAGCAGAGCACAAGTTACACAGAGTCTGATTCCAAGCCCAACCTTCTCTTTCATTCCTCATGTTGCATGCTCCAGGCTTATTTCAACACACAGACACAGCGATCCGTCCGGGAAAGTTAGCTGTATGTTATGGGATAGACTTGTGCACCATGGTTTAATTAAAGATCAAAGGTCATAGACCTGTGCCTTGGCTTCCTCATCTGTAAACAAAAGGTGATAATAGTAGCCTTATGATAGATTCCTTTGAGGAATAAATTATGTAATTTATACAAAACACTTAGAAATGAATTTTGCATGTAGTAAATTTACACAGAGAATAAGTAAATTAAAGAATAATCAACATAAATAAGGATAATAATAAGTAAATTAATGCCTATAGAATAAGATGAAGGCTGTTAACATAGTAGAATTTCCAAATTACTAGAAGAGATCATTAGAATCAATATCCACTACTGAATAACCTTTCCTTGAAGAGTGACTATCATGTTTTCAAGATTTTTAATAAGGAATTGAGATCTCATCTTACAAAACACAGAACAAAACAAACCTCTATATTTTTGCATGGAATCCACCTCTTCCGTTGTTCAACAGGAATCTTTGCTTTAGGGAGATGGAAGAGAGGTTGACTTTCCCCAGAATAATTGTCTTCACACTTGGATATGTTATTTCTCCTTTGTTCGACTACAGTAGCCTCTTCTTTCCTTCTCTTGTGTTTGCTCTTTTAAGATTTCTCCAGAAGTTAGGTTTCATAAGCGTCATTGGAACTGTGGAGAGTTTGTGGAGTACTGTGGTTGCAGATGGTTGCCAGCCACATCAAAGTGACTCTGAGAGAAGGGAAGCCTCAGAGTTGGGTGGGAGGGCTGAGGGCTGATGCTACCTGTAACCAGCCACGTGACTCTGGGCAAGTCTCCCTTCCTCTCTGCACCTCAGTTTTCTAACCTGTTAAGTTTAGAATTTTGATGAGATCTGAAGAAAATCATCCATACAGGTTATATAGAATAACACCTGGAAGATTTTATAACACTGAGCTCTGTTAGTGCAGTCACCTAAGAAGTTTCACTGTTGGCTTTCAAACATGTTTTAATCATGAAAATCTCTAAGTCCAAGATTCCATGGAGAAGGCTGGAAGCCCTTCTAACGTGGGTTCTCAAGGAGAGTAATTACCATGGACACTGCTGGACAGCTACGGAGCTGTGTGCACCCTCCCGGGAGTGTGGGAGAGGTGTGCAAAGTGAGTGTCAGTCACTAGAATGCTGGACAAATATGTGTGGAGCACCTGTGGCTGGTCACGAGCACATATTCAGTAGGGCACATGGGCTGGGGACACGCCGAGGGGTACCATGCTGGACTGCAGCGTCTTGATGTTTCCTGTTGACTGTGTGTTTTAGAAGGAGGAGGAGACAGAAGTCCACCCCATTTAAAGAGTCCTGGGATACAAAGAGTAAGGTGAGTTCACCTGGAATTGTCATTTTCCCCCTCTTTCGTGCTTTATAAATATCTTGTAAAGTCCGTCTATTTTGCAGTTATGGATCTTATTTTTTGTTTTATTTTTAATAAACTGGCAATGCAGTTGATAATTCAAATATTGATAATTCAAGTACCAGCTTATTTGAGGAAGCAGTTACTCTCTGTACTACTCTATTAATACCTTTTGACACCAAGTTTTTTTTTATATCAATATGAATAAAGGAGCAATTACACTGACACAGTAAGAATCAACCCTGTGCATTACCGAAATCTGCACTAGTTTTCTAGGACTACTATTACAAAGTACACAAACTGGATAGTTTGAAACAGCACACACTTATTCCCTCATGACTCTGGAGGGTTGAAGTCCAGAAAGAGGTGTGAGAAGACTGGTTCTTCCTGGGGTGAGATGGTTCCAAGCTTTTCTCCCAACACCTCCTGGTGGTTGCCTGCAATCACTGGCTGTCCATGGCTTGTATACACATCCGATTCTGCCTGTCTTCACCTGGGGTCTCCCCTGTGTGTGTCTGTGTCTCTCCTCTTATCAAGAAACCAGTCATCTTGGAGTAAGGGGCAGCCTCCTACCCCAGTGCATCCTGATGTTCACGTCACTAATTTTATCTGCAAGTATCTTATTTCCAAAGAAGGCCACATAACGATGTTTGGAGAAGGATGTGAGTTTTAGGGGGACCCTATTCAAACCAGTAAAGAGCATAACATTATTTTGATGTCATAAAGATATTGTGATGATTAAATTAATCTAACCTACATTCAAGGCTCAGAAGCAAAGCGTGCATATAAAAGGACATAATATATGATATTTGTTACTATTATTACCTTTAATTAATTATGAATTAATGAATGCTCAAATTACATTATAAACCTAAAGAACTTTCTTGTGGGTTTCAGGAGTCTGATGAACTATTAAAATTTCCATCTCGCTCTACTTTGCTACTGCGCATATTGTTTGGTTGAAGTAATAGAAACTTTGGAGTTTGTAGATAACAGTGATGCTTAATTTCATGTTCATTGCCTCCAGCGTATGTCACATATTGCTCTCTTGTGCACATATTATTCTGTTTATTAAAATTCGCAATCCAATGCTTGTGTTAGGATTTCACACACAGCATTGGGGAGGTTATTCATGGGTGGAATCAGTGCCCTTGTAAGAAGAGAGGCCAGAGCTTCCTTCCTCCTCTCTGCTTTCTGCACAAAAAGCCTGGACACAAGGAGAAGATGGCCACCCACAGATCAAGTAGGCAGCCCTCGCCACACATTTGGTCTTGGATTTCATAGCTCCAGAACTGCGAGAAATAAATGCTTATTGTTTAAGACACTTAGTCTGTGCTGTTCTATTATAGCTTGCCTGAGTTGACAAAGGCAAACATTTTCTCAAGTGCTATCCAAAATCACATTGATTTCTTTTTGCTTTAATTATTTGCCCTTGAATTCAACACGGCTAAAAAGTCAAGTACTTAAGCACCCAATACAGGTGCTTCAGACTTCTTAATAATCTGTCAACTTAAAATTTTCTGTTATTAAGCAGTTACTCTTTGCAAGTCAGATGTGTTTTTCTGACTGACGCACAGCTGGCTTCTTAGCACCATATGCAGGCTCCAGCGGCTCGGCTCCTCCAGCTGTTGCTTGTCACACAGTGGACGCTGCCCAGCCAGGTCCACTTAGTGGCTTCTTTTGTTCCTAGCTATTTGCCTGCTAAAGTCAATCCAAAGGAATATCTATTGTTATGAATTTTGAAGAAAGGAGGATGCTTTAGGACTATGTTAGGTATCCAGTTCTTCCAGGCTTTAGAATAATGGTATTTATTATATCGAGGACAATTTAAAATTTTGATAGTAAGAGGGACTGTGAAGGATGAAGAGGATAGACCTATTTGATTATTTTGCTATTCCTCACAGGTGATGTAAGTAAGAAAGCACCTGGATTTTCCTTCTGCTTTCTTCTTGCAAACACCAAAATCATTCTAACTTTTGAAACCACTCACCAGAAGATCTCTCTTGCTTCTCTTTTCTCTCTCTCAATTTTGCTCTTTCTCACACCTGTATATTTTGTCACATGTGCACATCACTTGATTAAAGTAGAGAATATTAATGGTTATGTACCATCAGCTTGAAGGAGAAAGTTTGTTGCATAGTTCTTTCATTGTGTTCAGTTGATTATTGTTAGAGCTAGGACACTGTGTACTCTAAGAATAGTTATTAATTAAGGCATCATTCAGTAGACATTGATGGATGCCCACTATAGGGAAATACCAACCTACTTTTGCATCTAAAAAGGAAATTCATAGCACAATACAGCATTAAAGATCTGGATTATGTTTATGCTGCATCTTATTCAGAATCCTATAAATCAAGAAAGTGATTTCTAACCAAAGTTCTATACAACGGAGGGAGTGTTTTAGAAATTACTTGTAGTGGAATTTTGGCCTACATTATGGTTCAATTGAGAGATTTATGTTGAATATCTTTACTAGCTGATGAAACACACTGAATGATTGATACCACTGCTGTTTATTTTGTAGGCAGCCAACAACTACAGAAGCCCCTTCTCCATCACTCAACCCATGGAAGACACAAGGGAGGACATCTATGTCAACTATCCTACCTTCTCTCGAAGACCAAAACCTAGAGTCTAAGCTTTTCTCTTGATATCAGCTAACTAATGATGACTATTAAATACATGGATCTTTATAATTTCTTCCTACCACCCAATGACTGTCTTGATTCCAGTTGACTAAACTTCTTTCATTGGTAGAGAAAACACTGCATGACCTAGAGAACATCCTGAACAGGAGTGCTTCAGGACACCCGAGTCATGTTAGCTCATACATAAGGGAAACTTGCTGGATCAAGCAACAGAGGAACAGGGGAGACCAGACTTGAGTGAGCGTTACTTACCAGGGCTCTAATGTTGTGTCTAGATTTAGACATGGCCATAAGCTGGTTCAGATCCCCTCCCACAGCAGTGGATGCACTTGTCTGGCTTTGGCCTAACTCCCATGCTGGCTTTTCTGTGTGCTTTCAAGATGGCAGCCAACCACTGAAGTCATTTGTGACACTGTTTGCATTGGATGAAGTGTTTGTTTTTTTTTAACGCAGCAAACATATTCGATTATTTGCCTATCATCAAGCAGGCATTGTGGTCATTAAGGTGAGATAGCTTACCTTAATTAAGGGTTCACCTGTAAGAGCTGGAGGTGGGGACAAAGCACATGAAGGGGCAATTCAGGGTATTAAAGAAGGAAAGGAACCCGGAAGCTGTGGTTGTTACTAAATGTTGACTGCAATGACATTCCAAGACATCTCTTACTAACCCACTAAAAAGTGAAACTAGATTAGTTCTCTCTCTCTCCTCTCTTCTAGAATCTTCTCTATCATCCATAGTCCAGAAGAATACCTGGCAGCACAATGAATGAAGTCAGAGAAAGATACATGTGACAGGGTTACCATTTTCTTTTCTAATAGAAAATAAATTTATCTCTGAATCTATGTAGAATTCTTGCCACCATCCTGGGCCTAGCCTAATGAGGAAGTGTGATAGAGGGTCCAAGAATAAACAATGTAAATACTTTTAATATTGATTTTTTTTTCTTTTTGCTACCTTTGAGAATTATTTTTAATATCCAAATTCTCTCAAAATGGACAGGAACCTAGGCATTAAGTTCTCTAAAAATAGTTTTGTGTGAAACTTGAATACATGAAGAGAGAACATGGTTGGAAGTGGTGCTATAGGGTTGTAGGGTAGAAATTTGAGCCTGGAGTCGGGAGAGTATGGAGAGGAAATAGGAAAGGAGGGAAAGTCATCGGGGAATAAAGTACAAAGGGAAATGTGGGCTTCACAGTTTGGACATCTACCCTCGTTTTTATTATCATTGCTGAAAGAACTTCATATTTGGATTCATGAACTGTTTCCATGAGTTTATCAGCATAACCCAGTGGAAAGGCCGTTCACCAGAAAACACTCTAGCATCACGTTTATCCAAGATGCTAGGGCCAAATCCCTGAGTTCACATTGTGAACCCATTTAGCACCATTTATAAAATAAGCTCTTTCTTTTTCTCAAAAAGTTTAAAACGATCTGGAAGATTCTGATAACCAAATTCTCATTGATTAATACTGGTGAGAAGTAAAACATTTCTACAGTCTTAACACGAAGGACTATAAATCCCTTCAAAAGAAAATAGCTACTGGGGTGACAGGCTTTCATGATGAACCACTTATGTGTGCTAGCCCCCAGGATATCTGAAACTCATCTCTGTCTCCCTATTTTTTAATTTTTTTAAAATATCACACTCAAAATATTCATGGGCAGTATTCACTCTGTCCTTTTCTTCTTTTCCATGTGGTCTTGCTATTCGGGAGTTGGGAACCTCCTGCCGCCTGCTGAAGTTCTCCACTGCCTCAGCTCTTGGGCTGATGAGCTTCTTCCCCATTTCCTTCTGGGACACCCTAGCCAGGCACTGTCCTTGCAGTCTCTGTAATCTCTGTAATGCCACACCTACGGCACCAGGTCTTTGAACTCTACCCTCCCCCCTTGCTTTTCCTCTAATCTGTGCTTACTGACCTGGGAGTTACTAGGAAAATAGATCAAAACAGATCCTCAGAGTACAGATCAAGATGGGAATTAAACTATATTTGTGTTTTTATTTTTTTTTGCAAGATGCTGCTTTGGAAGCAAGATGCAGTCTTAAGATTTTTGTCTGTTTTACATGTATAATTTATACTGGTACATAATACATCATCAAATAAAACCTATGCTTCCTTTGAATACATGATTTTAATATTTACATTTAAAATTACCAATTAAGGGGCTGGGGATGTGGCTCAAGTGGTAGCGCGCTCGCCTGGCATGCGTGCGGCCCAGGTTCGATCCTCAGCACCACATACAAACAAAGATGTTGTGTCCGCTGAAAACTAAAAAAAAAAAATAAATATTAGAAAAATTCTCTCTAAAAAAAAATAAATAAAATAAAAAAATAAAAATAAAATTACCAATTAAGGAAATTAGGGTGGCATTGGTGGTATAGTGGTGAGCATAGCTGCCTTCCAATTGAAGAGATTACTATTTGATAATATGGTAAGTAAGTGTGTTAAATGTCATTAAAGAGGACTCAGTTTATCAGGGAAAGAGCACATCTTTAATAAATATAACTTACAGTAACTGTGTATTGATTATATTGTTATCAGAGAGACTTTCAAACTTTGTGTACAGACCTTTATGTATCCTGAGAAAATAGAGCACAAAGTTCTTTCATTTATTCATTCTTTCTTTTTCTTTTTTTCTTTTTGTGGTGATGGAGAGAAACATGAGCCTTGTGCACGTCAGGCAAGTGCTCTGCCACTGAGCCCCACCTCCAGTCCAGAGTACGCAGTCCCTCAACTCACACTCACGTTTATAGATTGGGAGAAGTAAATGAGATTATGATTTTTAGTTAGGAAAAATTCAAACTTATAGGATGTTTTAAATAATTCAGTTTATTATTAAAGTGCTATCCATATTTAAGTATGCTGAAAATCAATTTAAAAGACAAAGTACAATAAAAATAATTTTATTTGATTTGCTATTACTTTAAATATCTAAATGCTATCGGTTTTTGTAAAATGTATCAAATAAAAATTTTCAGGACTTTGGATCACTTGCCTAGGATGTCTGAGGCCCTAGGTTCAATTCCCAGTACTGCAAATAATAATAATAATAATAATAATAATAATAATAATAATAATAAAATTACAGTTGTATTATAGTAATTTTTCAAATTGGGAAAGTCTACATTTTTAATTAGAGATCACTTTAATCCAATGCTTCTCCTAGATTTTATATAATATGCTATATTTTGTACCGCTTACATAGAATTCCAGTGAGATGCTTATAAAGTATAGGTGTAGATGCTAAACTGTGACAACAAGGTTAACCTTTTCACCATAATGATATGAAAATATCTTTGAAGATTGTAAAATTATAATATGAACATGAAATATTACTGGCTTATTATTATCACTGGTTTGGGTCATATTAAAATGTAATGTCTAGAAGGTGCTGACCTTCACATTTAGATTTTGATATCAGTTAATGTATATTTTCATTGTTCTGTTTATTGAAATTATTCTAGTAACCCTCTAGGATCTTGTAGATCTATCTGAAAATTAAAAACAATTTGCTTTTCTTTAAATTTTCTATTGCTGTGATCCAATGAACTTCTCGAATCTACTGCAGTGCTTCTGAGGGAAATTTTATAGATCTTCAGGGTTGGTTTACATATCATATTTTTCTAGATTCAAAGCACTAACTATGTTGTAAGATGCTGTTAGAAAAAGTCTCATTTGGGGTGGTAATCCCAATCCCAAATCCGGGACGATCCTGCCTATTGTTCTTGTTTGATGAAGTTATATGGTTACCTTAATTAGAACACTGTTTCCAGTTATTTCAGATTTTCCATTTGTTGGCCATGCAAATGTTTGCCTTCATTTATTGTATTTTGTTGTTCTGAATGAATAAAATGTAGTGTACCATGATCATCAGTTTCATTTGCTATCAAAGAAGAGTAGGGAAAAATATGTCTACAGAATAAAATTAACCTTCAGAGTTAAAAATGCAGAAATGAAGTTTTTATATTCTGAACAGTTTGTAACATCTATCTCAAAGCAACATTCTGTGTGTTTTATATGCAGTGGACCAAAGAACTATAGGAAGTTTTTTAACCCCTTTTCTCTCTCTTTCTTTATGGCTTGATAAACCTCCATTGCGTACACATATGACATTTTCTTTATCCATTCATCTGCGGGCGGGCACCAACACTGGTTCCGTTGCTTGGCTTTTGTGAATCTTGCTGCTATAAACACTGTGATGTGTGCACTGCTACAGTGTGCTGCTACCTTATACAAAGGAGTGGGATAGCAGGGTCAAATGGTCGTTTCATTCCTAGTCTTTTGAGGAATTTCTATAGAACTAGAAATATTCATATGGAAAAATAAAAGACTCAGAATTGCCAAATTAATACTAGCAATAATGGAGATGCTGGAGGCATCACAAACCTGATCTCAAATTATGGTTCAGATCTATAGTAACAAAAGTAGCATGGTGTGGGCATAAAAACAGACATTAAAACCAATGGAATAGAATAGAAGACACAGAGACAAATTCATATAGATACAGTCCCATGACGGGTGCCAAAAACATACACTGGAGAAAAGACAGCTTTTTAAACAAATGGTGCTGGGAACACTGGATATCCACATGAAGAAGAGTGAACTGGATCCCTGCCTCTCAACCTGCATGAAAGTCAACACAAAGTGCATCAGTGACATAGGAATTAATGCAGAAACACTGAAACTGCTAGAAGAAAAAGGGTCAACACTCCATCATATTGGGGAAGGCACTGACTTCCTTACAAAGATTCCTAAATCTCAAGAAATAATACCAGGAATCAATAAGTGGGGTAGCATCAAATTAAAAAGCTTTTATATGCAAAATAAACCAGAGTGTAAAGAGAGAGTCTGCAGAATGGGAGAAAATCCTTGATAGCTACTCTTCAACAGGGGATTAATATCCAAAATAAATAAAGAACTAAAAAACTTAACACAAACAGCAACCCTCCCCCAAATAACCCAATCAATAAATAGACAAATGACCTCAACAGACATTCTTCAGAAGAAAAAGTACAAATGGCCAACAAATATATGGAAAAATGTTCAACGCCTCAGCAATCAGGGAACAGCGCATTCAGACGACACTGAGATTTCGTCTCTCTCCAGTTACGACGGCAGCCGTCAACACAAACAATAATCAATGCTGTCAGATGTGTGGAGAAAAGGAATGTTCTTGCCATGTCGGTGGACGGCGTGTTAGGACCACCTTGGAATGGCTCAGGTATTGGACACTCTGGTCAGGACTCACACTTTCAGGGCTGTTATGTCCCATGAGATAACCAACACCTTGCCACACGTATGTTCCTTTTCATGCTTGTTAAGCTCCTTGTTCTGAATCTCTTTTTGTGAGAAGAACACAACTCTTTCCTTTGGCTCATATTGATGGGGTATGTCTTTCTGCCACACTTTAATTTTAAATTATGTGAGTCTTTGTATGGAAAATGAATTTCTTATGGACAACCTATAGTTGAATCTTTTTTAAAAAAATCCACGGTAACACTCTGTCTTCTAATTAGTTAATAGACCATTCAACTATAAGTGATTATTGACATAGTTGGATAGTATCTACCATGTTTGTGACTGTTTTCGACGATCACACCTATTCTTTGAATTTATATCTTCCCTTCTGTTTTCTTCCTTCCATAGTTTTAATTGTCCCCCTCCCCCCATGTAACTCTGGTTTTTCCCTTAACATATTTTATTTGGTGTGCTCTGAGCTTCCTGATTCCACGGTTTAGTGTCTGTCGTTAATTTTGGCAAGTCTGTAGACACTATTATTTCAAATATTGTCTTCCTACATTCTCTTTTTATTCTCTTTCTGGGATCCTGATTGTGTGCTCGTTTTGAAATCATTCCGTCGTTCTTGGATGATCTTTCTCTTTTCCTGCTTACCTTTTACTTTCAGAAGTTCATAGTGACCAGTCACGATCGCTGATCCCTTTTGTCCGCTGTGCCAGGTCTAGTGATGATCCCAACGAAGGCAGTGTTTGTTTCTGTCACCGTGCTTTCATTTCGAGCAGTTGATTCTTATTTCTTCTTAGAATCCCTTTCTCTGCCTACGCTACCCATCTGTTCTTGCTGGTTGTCTAGCTCCTCCACAGAGCCCTTAACGTGTTAAGGATGATTTCCTTGTCATCGCCTCTCTGGTCCAGTACTGGCTTTGTCTCCTCCCACCGTAGCTGGTCTTGCCTGTGAGCACGCTTCACAGTTTTTTCCTTGAAAGCCAGACTTAGCGTATGGCATATTGGGAACCAAGGTGGATAGGGCTTTGGTTTGCAGACTTACCTTAACCTGACCGGATGCTGGACTGAGTGGAAGTCCATCACAGCTATAGGTGCTAAATACTTTCATGTCCCTCTAGTGTCTTGTGGCTTTTGTTTGTGTGCTTGGTTTCTTTTCTCTCTCTTTTTCTCTTTCCCTTTCTCTTCTGGCTTCCCTACCTACTCCCTGCTCAGAGAGGCTTTCTGTTCCAGTGCCTTCCTCTGTAATTCTCTGCCGTTGTCCTGGGACCCTGTGGCCATGTGGTGAGTCACCACAGTGGAAGGAGAGTGTCTCTAATCTCATAATCAAGAATCAGGCTGTCAGTGGGCCTGAGACTGCAAGTTCTCTTGTGCTGTAGCTTCCACCTGCCTTCACTTGCATTCCAGTGCATTCCCTTGAAAGCCTAACCCCGTTGACTTATGATTTTTTTTAATTTTATTTTTTCTTTCTTAGGTGGGACAGGAGGGCTGCAAGGTCTAGGACTTTGTGTGTGAACAGGTGAAGATCTTTTCCCTGGTGGTAGGCCTTTGTTACTGAGAAGCCGCTTGGCTTATTTCCTGAAGCTTCCCCTTCCCCTGCCAGAGCTGCGAGATTTGCCCTGGAGCCTTGTATTGAGAACCTGGTGGGTGTCCTGGAGGGAAGGCTCAGAGCAAGTGGGGAGACCTTTCAAGTCTCTAGAGTTCACAAGAGGCTTTACTCATACTCATGACCAAATGGCAGCAGTCAGCTGACTTGCCGGTAAGCGCTCCTGCAGCCTTGGGTGCCAGTGCCACAAGCAGAATGCTTCCTGATTCTCTCTGGATTTGTCTGTCACTCCAGAGTTTTGGGGTGCCTGTGTTTTCTGGGACCTCCCTCCTGTAA